GGGGCGGGGCTGGGGCCACAAAATTCCAGCATGAAAGTTTCACAATCAAACCACAAAGTTCTCCAACAGCTGGGACAGGGGGAGGGGCACGCTATCCCCTGCTGTTATACATGCCTGCGCCATACACACCTGTGCCCAGCCACGCCCACTCCTCTGGCCACACCTACCTGCACCCCAGCCACACCAACTCTGACCACATCCACTCCCCTGCTGCACCCTCCCCCAACCACACCCACCAAGTCACACCTTAGGTGGCTGCACCCCCTCTCCTCCCACAGCCTGTTCACATCTGCTGCACCCTGCTCCGCTCTGCGCCCGCCTCGCCCTGTCAGCGCAGCGCTACCCCCGCTGCTGGGTTATTGCTGCAGGCCTGGTGATGGAGGCGAACAGACAGATGTAGCCCCCCAAACGTAGCTGAGGCAGGATGGGGGGGGCCCTCTGCCATCCCCTCAGTGCTCCTGCACCCAGCCTTGGTGCTGTGCATGGTGCTGGATGGCAGGGGAGCACGCTGCTCGTCTCTTGGCCTTTGTCCAATTCCAGTCTGTGCAGCCCTGCGGTTCAGGCGTGTGCAACACACAGGGCAAGGATGGCCTGATTCTGGTGCCAGCGCTGAGCATGCGAGTGACAATGGGGCACCAAGATGGGCTGCAGCAAGACACGGGTGGCAGCAAGAGGGTGGGGACCAGCCTCCACGGGACCATGTTCCTGTGCCATGCTCACAGCACCACACTGAGGGGAGGAGATGAGCTGCCACAACCAATTGTCCACCCCTCCCACAGGGGAATATGGGGCCCCACAGTGGAGGCGCTGGGTGCAGGGACCCCAGCCCAGGGGCAGATGGGCAGGGGGTGTCTCTTTCAACTGCACAGACCCCCCTCTGGTGGGGGAGGGGGCATCATGGTTGCACTCCCACCAGCAGGGCATTACAGCAGCACACATCCTCCCCCAGACGAGGCCTCATGGATGCACAGACCCACCCTGCCTGGGGAAGGGGGCACTGTAGCTGCACAGACTGGGGGGCGGGGGGCTCCTTTGGATGCTGTCTTGCTGCCGAAAGAGAAGGTGCAGCGGCACACCCAGGTGGGGCTGACGGCTGCTGAAAGCCCCAGGTGCAGTCCATGCTGTCTCCATCTGCTCTGTCCCTCCAGGGGCCTCAGGACCGGCTCAGTCATGGGAGGGGCCCAAGCGTGTCCCTGGCCCTGGTGCAGGTGAGGTTCTGTGGCAGCCCTGTGACCAGTCTCTGGCCCTCCTAAAGCTGCTCCTCCATGCAGCTTGTCTCAGCAGCAAAAACCAGAATCAATGAGCTGGGAAGCTCCTGGTGTGGATGATCTGCCCCCTGGAGCCAGACGAGCCTGCAGGGAATGGGATTCCTTCCCTGGGTCTGGATGGGGTGGCAGGGAACGAGATTTCCTACTCCTTCCCCCTGGAAAACCTGCAGGGAACAGGATCTGTTCCCCACTGGTCTGGAGGGGTCTGTGGGAATAGGACCCTCCATCCTGTGTTTGGCCAGTCCTGCAGGTTAGTGTACCCCGTCCCCCAGGTCCCCTGTATCCTGGAGCTGGACAGGCCTGTGGGAAACAGATTTCCCCCCCATTCTGGAGCCCCACAGGCCTGCGGGGAGTGGGATTTCTCCTGGGCCCCCGCCCAGCTGGGCAGCTCGGCCCACAGGACTGGAGGAGTGAGGTCTGGAGTGGGGGTGGCGAGGACACTACTTTGGCCCCCCACCACTCAGGGCAAACAGTACCATGAGAGAGCAGGTCTGGCACCGGCAGCCATTTGAGGCAGTGGGACCGGCACCACCACAAGTAGCCTATCAGGGCGCTGACATTCACAGTGGAACTGGCAGCCCATGTGGAGGGACTGGAACCAGAACCAGCAACCTGCTGGGGTCTGAGAATGAAGCAGCCTGTGGGGGTGGCAGATCCAGCCCTTCCGCCCCCGCCCCTGCAGTGACTGGAGGATGCAGAGAATAGCAGGAGGGGCTGAGAGTCCATGGGAGCCTGGGGCTAAATCCTGAGCTCAGCTTCCTCAGGGAGCTCCAGCGAGTGCTCGGCGCTGATGACGGAGGCCGAGGGCCCCTGGGAGACACCAAAAGGCGACACCACGGGGGAGCGGGCGGCCAGTGGGGACAGCGAGGGCGAGAAGCTGGGCGACATGGCCGAGGAGGAGATGGACCCCTCGTGGCTGATGGGTGAGCGGCGCAGGGAGGACAGGTGCGGGAAGGTCCTGCCCACTGCTGGCTTGGGGGGGCACTGACTTGGCCCCGGGATGGGCCACCGAGGTGATGAGGGGCGGAGGATCAATGCGGGGCTTGGGCTCTGCCTTGGGCTTGGCTTGGAAGGGCTTGCGCAGGGAGCTCTCATCCTTGAGCCGGGCGATCTCGGTGAAGACGCTGGCCAGGGGCTGGAACTGGGGGCACCAGTTCAGCAGGTAATCCCAGTTGTAGCTGCCACGGAGCTCCTCCTCGCTGGCCACGACGGCGGTGAGGGAGCCCTCCACAGAGGGCTTGCCGTCCTCGGGGAAGGTGTAGTCCTTGGGGTGGGAGGAGACGCTCAGGCCGCAGCCCACGCCCAGGAAGGTGCTACTGCCCCCATCCTCGCGGTACAGATGGGGCGGCTGCCCAGGCAGCAGCAGGCTGGAGCCCTTCTTGCTCTTGAACCACTGGGCGCTCTCCAGGGTGGTGGGCTCACAGGAGATGTCAGAGAGCTGGTCAGCGTCCTGCTGGATGCCTGAGTCGGGGCCACGGGCTGAGATGTGCTCCTGCATGGAGGAGGTGATGCTGGCCACACGTGGGTATTCGTTAATCATCCGGATCTCGTCGTCCTCGGCTGCCTCGGCTGAGCCACGCCCGCTGGAGTGGGAGGGGTCCAGGGAGCCGCCACGCGGGTAGGGTCCGGCCGATTCGCTGCCATAGCCTGGCAGGGCCTGGTGGTAGATGCGGTCACTGCCGGGCAGCACCGGCTCCTCATGGCCTAGCTTCTGCAAGGAGCCACTCTGCATGCGGTTGAGCTGCGAGTCCTGCTCTGGCTTCTTGTGTCCCTGCTGGTGCCGGGAGCGGACCAGCACCAGGATGATGGCCACGGCGGCCAGCACCACCACCACACCCAGGGAGGCAGCCACAGCTACCACCAGCAGCAAGTTGAGGTCCGGCGCCAGGCCGAAGGAGGTGTGGGTGACATCGATGGAGACCTGAGCAGAGGCTGAGCGGGAGGAAGGAAGGGGGCTCCGGGCCTGCACCTCCAGGCTCATCTCCCGCGGCTCCCGCTTGGCCCGCCCTGCTGGCTGCGGCTGGCTGTCCACGCGCAGGTAGATGGTGCCGGTGGTCTGGTTGACCCCGAAGTACGGTGAGGGCTTAGCTAAAGAGTAGAGCACCACACCGTCCACACCCTCGTCCTCGTCAGTGGCCAGCACTCGGCCAATGCTCTGGCCCTTGTGGGCGCCCTCAGGCACCTCGAAGCTGAAGTCCGGGCTCAGGAAGACAGGACTGTACTCATCCTCGCCGGTCACCAGCACCCGCACGGTGACGGTGGCTGAGGCGTTGCCGGCGTCCGTGGCCTGCACCAGCAGCTGGAAGGCCTTGGCACGCTCGTAGTCAAAGGCGAGGCGGGAGCGCAGTTCCCCGGAGGTCCGGTTGATGAAGAAGACATCCCTGCCCTCAGGGGGTCCCAGCTCCCCCACTGCCTGCTCCAGCACAGCGTAGCGCAGCTCCCCGAAGGCCCCAGTGTCGGAGTCGATGGCATGCAGAGTGGTGACCAGGGTGCCTGGCGGCAGGTTCTCCCGCACGCTGGCGCTCAGTGTCTCCACCGGGAAGTAGGGTATGTTGTCGTTGATGTCCTTCACTTCAATGGTGATGGGCACCAGGGCAAAGTGCCCGCCGGGGCCATCAGAGGCCTGCACCACCAGGCTGTGCAGGGCCTGGGTCTCTCGGTCCAGGGACTGTGCCAAGCGCAGGGCGCCTGTGGCCTCATGCAGCTGAAAGAGCCTGCGCTGGTCGCCGGAGCTGATGCTGTAGTGCACCTGGCCATAGGGGCCCGAGTCGGCATCGTGGGCCGCCAGCCGCAGCAGCTCGGTGCCCGGGGGGGTGCTCTCGCTCACAGCTGTGTGGTACTCGGCCCGGGCAAAGACTGGCGGGTTGTCGTTGACATCCAGCACGGTGACAAGCACTGGCACGGTGGTGCTGCGCTGTGGCACACCCCGGTCTGAGGCTGCCACTGTCAAGTTGTAGATGGGGACGGCTTCGAAGTCCAGCGCCTCCACCAGCACCAGGGCTCCCTGCGTGCGCAGGTGCCCCCGAGACCAGCCCATGTGGCTCTCCACCTGGAAGGCATTGCCGCTGTTGCCACTGACAATGGTGTAGTCAAAACCGGCGTTCTCCCGGGACAGGTCAGCGTCACCCGCCTCTAGCGTCAGCAAGGTGGTGCCCGGGCGCAGGTCCTCAGGGACACAGGCATTGTAGTGCGCCTGCTGGAAGGTGGGGCTGTGGTCATTCACATCCAGCACCTGGATCTGCACTGTGGTCCAGGCCGAGAGGCTGGGAGAGCCATGGTCACGCACCTCTACCACCAGGTCCAGCGTGGGCTGGTTTGCATCCAGCTCCACCCGGCGGGAGGTGAACAGCGTTCCTGCATGAGGACAAAGTTAGTCAGCACAGCCCTGGGCTGGGGCACTGTCATAACTATAAAGGGAAGGGTAACAGCCCTCCTGTGTACAATGCTATAAAATCCCTCCTGGCCAGAGACTCCAAAATCCTTTTACCTGTAAAGGGTTAAGAAGCTCAGGTAAACTGGCTGAAACCTGACCCAAAGGACCAATAAGGGGACAAGATACTTTCAAATCCTGGTGGGGGGAAGGCTTTTGTTTGTGCTCTTTGTTTTTGGGGGGAGTTCGCTCTTGGGACTGAGAGGGACCAGACATCAATCCATGCTCTCCAAATCTTTCTGAACAAGTCTCTCATATTTCAAACTTGTAAGTAAACAGCCAGGCAAGGCGTGTTAGTTTTATCTTTGTTTTCTCAACTTGTAAATGTACCTTTTGCTAGGGTGTTTACCTCTGTTTGCTGTAACTTTGAACCTAAGGCTAGAGGGGGGTCCTCTGGGCTCTTTAAGTTTGATTACCCTGTAAAGTTATTTTCCATCCTGATTTTACAGAGATGATTTTTACCTTTTTCTTTAATTAAAAGCCTTCTTTTTAAGAACCTGATTGATTTTCCTTGTTTTTAGATCCAAGGGGGTTGGATCTTGATCCACCAGGAGTTGGTGGGAGAAAGGAGGGGGGATGGTTAATTTCTCCTTGTTTTAAGATCCAAGGGGTTTGGATCTGTATTCACCAGGGAATTGGTGAAGAGTCTCTCAAGGCTACCCAGGGAAGGGAATTAGCACATTGGGAGTGGTGGCAGCGGACCAGATCTAAGCTGGTAGTTAAGCTTAGAAGTTTTCATGCAGGCCCCCACATCTGTACCCTAAAGTTCAGAGTGGGGAAGGAGCCTTGACAGGCGCGGAGCCTGCCAGGCACCAATGGACAAGCATAGGGGTGGGGAGAGTGTTGGGAGTGGGGGAAGGTGGGGCGAGAAGCCACCCCCACCCCCTGGGGTGCAGAGAGTCAGGGGACTTATTAACCTCAAGGCAAAATAGGGAGGCCAGACCCACTTCCACTGGTGATGGGGGTCACAGCGGGGGGGAAGTCATAGAATCATAGAATCATAGAATATCAGGGTTCGAAGGGACCTCAGGAGGTCATCTAGTCCAACCCCCTGCTCAAAGCAGGACCAATTCCCAACTAAATCATCCCAGCCAGGGCTTTGTCAAGCCGGGCCTTAAAAACCTCCAAGGAAGGAGATTCCACCACCTCCCTAGGTAACGCATTCCAGTGCTTCACCACCCTCCTAGTGAAATAGTGTTTCCTAATATCCAAGACAGCTCCAGGCTGTGGGGCCCCGAAGGGGATGGCTCTGTCTCCAGGAAGCCAGTTAACAGCTCCCCGTTGCTGGAATGGGATGGAGCTGCTTTTCCCAGGGCCTAGGCACAGCAGCACACTCCCACCTACCGTTGCTGGGGTTGATGGAGACGTCGGAGCTGGGCACAGCCAGGTGGTAGGTGAGCTCCCCATTGCTGCCAGAGTCCCTGTCTATGGCACTGACGGTGAGGATGGTGCTGCCTGCTGGCGTGTGCTCCAGCAATGTCACCTGAAAGGGAAGCAAAGCCCAGAATCGTCAGACACCTGGGAATCATAGAACTGGAAGGGACCTTGAGAGGTCATCTAGTCCAGTCGCCTGCACTCATGGCAGGACTAAGTATTATCTAGACCATCCCTGACAGGTGTTTGTCCAACCTGCTCTTAAAAATCTCCAATGATGGAGATTCCACAACCTCCCTGGGCAATTTATTCCAGTGCTTAAACACCCTGACAGTCAGGAAGTTTTTCCTAATGTCCAACCTAAACCGCCCTTGCTGCAATTTAAGCCCATTGCTTCTTGTCCTATCCTCAGAGGTTAAGAAGAACATTTTTTCTCCCTCCTCTTTGTAATAACCTTTTACGTCCTTGAAAACTGTGATCATGTCCCCTCTCAGGCTTCTCCTGGGGCTCACCCCGGAGCTCTGGCAATGGCTCCCGGTTTGGCAGGGGAGTCACAGGCAGGGCGTGCCTGCCCTGGAAGCATCAGGCTCTGGAGAGAGGCAGGTGCACCGGGTTGGGCAGCCTCACTTGTCTGACCCAGGAGGAGGGAACAGCAGGCTAGACGGGCACATTCTGGCTAGAGTGCAGGGTGCTATTTGTGTAAGGCCAGAAGGATCCAACAGATCATCATGTCATGAGCCCAATAACCTGTGAGTGACTGAACCCCCCGAAGGCACGCAGGCTGTAGCCACAGCCATTAACGAGGCTGATCAACGTACAGGCCAACCAGGCACCATTCCTCGGGCCCAACCCACAGCTGTACAGTACGTTCACTGCAGCAGGGCTGGCCACGTGGTGGATCTGCCAGACCAGCTGCCCGTCCTGCTGCTGCTCACCAGGACAAGGATTGCAATGCCAATCCCTACACTTGGTCTGTCATGACGGGGGTGGCCAGGCCCAGTTTGAGTGACTGGCATTGCAACACTGTCCTAGTCAGCAGGTCCTGAGCAGCAGCAGGATGAGCAACCGGTCCCGGTGGATCCACAGCATGGCCAGCTCAGCCGTGGCAAGAGCACTGTGCGGCTGGGTGTTGGGCCCGTAAGAGTATAGTGCCTACAGCCCACTGATGGGTTGTTTCAGCCTTGGGCATCAAGGGAGGGAGAACTTCTTCCATCACTTCCCCTGGTACTTGATCCCATGGTTAATGCCTAATGCCCCTCACTGTTAACAATAGGCACCTTACTAACACAGACTCTGGTGCAGAAAGGATTTGAAAAGTACAATAAATGCTGAACAAACGGGACTGTCTAAACAGAAGGTGTGGTATGATAATCATACTTGGAAGCACCTCCCTGTAATGAATTTGCTTCTGCAGTTATGTCTCTTAATACACAATCTATGGGTTGAGACCAAGAATTTGATACTGATGGTAAATCCTTTAAAAATGTGTAACATGCATGATTTTTGGAAAAAACTTTGGTACAGGCTAGGCAGGGCCGGTGCTACCATTAAGGTGAACTAGGTGGTTGCCCAGGGTGCCAAGATTTAGGGGCGCCAGAAAGCGGTGCCCCCAATTTTTTTTTTACAGCGTTCCTCCCCGAGCGCGCGGTCGCTGCTCCACTTCTCCCGCCTCCCAGGCTTGCAGCGCCAATCAGCT